TTGCTCTTCTCTTAATTAACTTACCTATCGATCAGAACTCGATTTAATCAGTTTATTCCTAATAAACCTAGCTCTCGCGTACTTTGGTTTAACGATTATACGTTTTAAGGACACGATTTATTATTTATGAGGTGAGGAAACGAGAGCAGGAGATGAACGGGAGCGATGGAAGCACGCGGCGATCGGACGCGAGGCGGCCGATTTATTGGGACGCGGCCGTGTTTCTCTTGTTCACCGATCGAGACGCCATTTACCTTCTTTCCTACGCGAAAACCCTTAAATCAGCAAACGTCAAATTTCCTTCTGTTTTGTTTATGCTCGATACATCTCAAACTATTCGTTGAACGAAGCGTTTATCCGTAAAATTCATTTATCGATCCCGAAGAATCAGCTACGCTCGTAGCATCGGAAACGCTAAAATCGAACGATCAGTTCACCATCCGGTTAACGAGTTCTCCAAAATGGCCGATCGGCGAACAAAGAAATCCATAGTCAGATGAGAATTCCTTCAAACGATCGAGGAAGATCGTTCGCGGGGCCGACTGGCGTCGATCGTCGCGTGAATCGCGCGCGATCGAGCGATCGCTCGGGACCCGCGGTTTCTTCGGGATCTCCGATTTCTCCGACCACCATTACGGAACGCCAACGGTCAAGCAAATCACAGCCGTTGCCTCTAAGTTTCTTTTTCCTTCCCGTTGCGTTCTCGATTTTCATTTCTCCGCGTTCCTCGCGCGTAAGCAAGTTCGGAGAACGAAGGGCGGAAGAAACCGCGCGTGTCCGAGACACTCCGTCGGTGGCGGTCGCTCGATCGATCCGCGATCCAGCGATCGTTCGAAGCGTGCAAAGACAGAATGGTGGCATTTTTAAGTACATCAGACAGCGCCGTGGCCGTGTGATCGCACGGATCGAGACGAGGAAGTGCACCCGGAGGACAGGGGAACGGGAAACGGTGTCGGGACGCGGGGCCGTAGGGAGCGAGAGAAAGGGAGGGGAAAGGGATGGATCGCTCGGGCCGGGGAAGCGAGTGTTTTTTGATCGATCGACGGAAGAAATATCGGACAATTTTCTTTGGGTCTAAAGCCGGAGCGAGCCAATCCTCGAGGGATGAAAGCGCGACAGCGAATCGGAGGATGCCGATCGATCGGAAGGGGATGATTCTCGAGCCGGCCGGAACCACGAAATTCGCGGTCCTCGGGATCAACGGCTCCCGATCGATTCCCTGGTCATCCGTTTCGACGTTGCTGCTCTTCTTCTTCGACCTCCTCGGCCCGGCCTCTAGCTCCGCTCGCACACCCCGTAACTCGTCCGTTCGTTCGTCCCCTGCGACGGGATTCCCCTGTCCTCCGCCTGCGCTTCCGGCTTCTTTCGTTGGCATAAATTGTTTAATAATACGCGTTTATTTTCGTTCGCCGTTTTAATTTCCGGACGGAGGCCGTTTCGCGCCCGGGGACACGCGAATGGCCCTCCCAAGCAGAAATTTTTTCGTTCCCAGGAAGAAGAAAGAAAAAATGAGAAGAAAAAGAATCGTGGAAATCGCGTGCGCTTTAAACATGACGGCGGGGAAACGGCGGGCAGCCCCCCACCCACCCCCTCCGACCGTCCGATATTTACCAAATCCGTACTGTATCGCGCGGTATGCTGTTCGTTGTAAAATGTACCAAAGACAATGTCGATTAACTGACAAATAAGTAGTTTATTTAAATCGCAGGAGAGGGGAAAATAAGAAAAATTAACGGTTTAGACGGACGGGAGATA